AGATATGGGAATCCTCAGAATCAGAGGGTTGTTGAGTAGAGGGGTGTACCTCTGGATTACGGTCATGGTAGGCTGCCAGAGCCTTAGGAATGGACTCTGCGATAGTTGAGAAAAGCCATTCCTTAAGTTCGGCAGAAATCGCAGGGTCTTGGCGATCTGACATAATGTCAATTTAAAGGTAAATGTAAACCCTATAAAACAACTATCTATATATATATATATAGATTATAATCGTTAGAATGTCAATTAATGATGAGGCAACTCAATTAGAAAGTATGATGTGGGGGTCACCCACGAGACGTCAAATTCAATGGGGGTCACCCACAAATGCTTGGCACAATAAAAATAGTAAAGGGCAATAATAGAGATTGTGAACAAAAGATATATTGTTCAATTACTGAGGTGGGGTCACCACTATAAATTTACACTAATAATAAATATATATAATGTATATATAATGTGTATATATAATGTACAGTAAACAATGGGGGTCACCCACAAAAATATATCAGGTGGGGTTAGCCACATAAATATTAACACAGCAGTGTTTCAGTAGGTGGTATCAACCACACAGATATTGTACAGAATATGTACTTTAAATAAGTAAGTGGGGGTCACCCACAGAAGGGCAATAAAAGGCAATCACACAAAATTTATAAAATTAAACCACACTGTAATTATACAAATTAGGGAAAGGGGTTCACCCAGATTGTAATAGAATGGTCCTATGTAGGCAAAGCCTGTGGAAAAAACAAATAGGAGATAGATCAGTATAGTGATCGTTTTTTTAATGAGTATATGAAATGAGGTGGAGATAAGATGGCAGCAACCTACCTTCCACAAGCTAGTCAGTGATATGATTTTCTGTACCCACAGGATTTGAAAAAGAACTTGTGCGCCGCAGTGGAGGAGCCGTTGGCAGTTACTCTGCGGCTGAAAATGGCCGCCGCGAGCTTGCCGCCGTTGAAAAGGGCGGGAAAAAAAGCCTGCGTCCAAGAGACAGACGCTAGTAGGCGGGAGGAAGGATAAGGGCGGGAAATAGCAGCCGCGGACTCTGGGAAATGGAGTCCACGGCTGAGGAGAAAGAAAGAATGGGCCGCGGCTCTCCTGAGAGAAAAAAAGCCGCGGCCAGCTGATTGAAAGCGGCAGGGTTTGAAAAAACCCTCCGTTCAGAGAAAAAATCCGGTAGGACGTAAAATTTTAAAGGAGAACAATCCAATAATACAAATACAGTGAAAAATAATATATATGTGAGGTTAGAAAGAAGATGAGTAAATCAAAAAAATAAAGTTTGTTATGTGTGTAAGTAACAAGATTAAATAAATATTGAAGTAACTTAAACCAGTAAAGCAATGCAATTGGAGCAGACTCACCTGGGAGGCAAGCAGCAAAGAAAGAGGAAGTGGGAGGAGTTTGATGACACTATATTGTAGTTGAGATATGTTATGATTGGTTGATTTTTCCATACAACATTGTTAACCATTTCTTTGCTGCTGGGAGTTACAGTAAAGAAAGATAAGCAAATATGAAGCCTCCTGTCTTGCCATAAAATTAAACTTGTCATGAGTCCTAGGTCTGCATACTCTAGTCTAGTTAATAGAACTAGTCATTAAGAATTTGCATGATGTTTTATCGCACGTTTTTCTTTTTCTAACTTTATCGGGTGCTTTTTGCGTTTGTATTTTGTTTTTAATCGAATTGATCAGGTAAATGTGTTTGTCCCTGTGCGTTTCCTGAATCCTCCTTCATTAACTATGCATAAATATGAACCCTGAGCAAACATTATGTATCAATGTTTTATGTAAGAGCCCTGGTTAATTAATTCCTCAGGTTAATCTATAAAGGTCTGAATTCATTTAACATGCAAATTAGACAGCAAATGGCAAAAGAAATCCAAACCCAAACACGCATCACATAAATGTTTAATGGCGGCAGCGGGAAAATATCACTTGATGGATTTTAGCATTCATGAACTTTTTATAGGCTAATGTATGCATCAAATGATGATATTATTGAATTTCCTTAAGGACATTCCTCTCAACCTTATAGCCCTTACTCATTATTAAGATAATTATGAGGTAGGAAGGGTTCTGGTTACACTAATGTATGTTGCCCTATATCTTTCTGGTAGCTGTAATGCTCAGTGGGTTAAATATTTCATAAATGGAAATACCAATACATTAATGTATAAGGGTAATCATTGGGGTGACTTGTGCAAGGCTTGTGGAGTGCCACATCTCAAGGTGGGATGGAGATGGAAATGACATTCAAAATACAAATGTCATAAATGTCTGTTTTGTTTTATTTCAGCTGTAATATAAGGTACCTTATTACAAATGTGTACAGTGTTGTATATTCCCTGAATTGCCACAAATTGAAACCAGTATTGCAAAATGTAAACTGAAACAGCAAAGTTATGAAACACATGAGTTGAAGATTTAACTTTTTGCCAATTTTTTCCCAATCCATGTTTAAATTCACTACAGTCCTGTGTTTAGTGAATAAACACCACTAAATACGTATAAATTTAGAACATACATGGCTATTGATCAAAGTGTGTATTTCCATTAATTCAAAGTAAAATTTTAATGTGCCTAAAATGTTTAACTCACATTAAATTAAACATTACAAGTACATATTAATCCAGATGTAGTTTAAAAAAAAATTCCATCTTCCCTTTCTACAAATCTCCAACACCCGGCCCCTCCTCCTCCCACCCATACACCCTCACCCAGCTGCTGGCTGCTGTTTACACTGAGTCTCAGACTATGATTTAAAAAAGCACACATTACATTTGCAGCTCTTATATTAAGAAAAGTTGAAAACCAAAAATGTGACGTTTTGTACAGCAATAAGCAGCTAACTGGTTTTAAATGGATTCAGTTGTGTTTCCAAAAACAGATATGCCCATTGTCTAACAATACATACATACTTACATACATATGTTATAAAATATATAAAACACACGCGCTCTCTCTCTCTCTCTCTCTCTCGCCAACTTCCTCGCTAAAGATGACTGTTAACCCCTTCAGGACAAGGAGTAAGGCAAATCCTATAAGATTCGACGTATTCCTTCATCTATCTCAGCAGGTTCTGTATGAACTTTGAAATTATTCTTGAATTCGAAAATCAAAGAGCGCAGTATTCAATAGCAATGTTATATCTGATCAGCCTGCAGATTATCATAACAAACTAGTTCAGTAAGTCATTTTTTACTGTGGCAGGATAGCACTGGGAAATAATAAGAAATAGCATTGCTGATATGACAATAAGTAACCAATGTGAGTTAGAATCAAGCTGTCAATCAAGTGGGCAGACGGTATATAAGCTGAAAGGGTTATGCCTGTTGATTGGCCATTCCCAGCCCCAGACTTGTCTCTCTCTCTGCTTGGAGAAAGGATGGAGCAGCCTCCAGCTAATTTCAGCACCATGAACAGCTCCCTCCACAAACAGCCTGTGTACGCAGGGGGCTTCAAGCCTTTAGAAGCCAGTGACTGGACTCTTGTAATCCCTAGCTTGCTGTTGGTGATTTGCTTGATAGGAGTTGCTGGCAATGTGTGTGTGATAGCTATCTTACTGCATAATGCCAGGAAAGCCAAGCCTTCAATGATCCACTCACTAATCCTCAATCTGAGTATATCAGACCTGCTCCTTCTCATGTTCTCGGTCCCATTCAGAGCTGCAGCCTACTTCAGGTCCACCTTGATGACTGGGTGGTTTCTGTGCAGGACAGCAGACTGGTTCACCCATGTCTGCATGTCCTCCAAAAGCATTTCAATCGCCGTGGTGGCTAAAGCCTGCTTCATGTATGCCTGCAATCCAGCAAAACAAACCAACATTAAGCAGAACGCTGTATGTGGAGTCCTGCTCGCCATTTGGTTGGTATCCGCTCTCCTGCCTCTTCCAGAGTGGATCTTCACCATCACCAAGCCAATTGCTGGGGATATGGCATGTGTTATGGACATCCCAGTGCATGCCCATCAGATGATGGAGATCTTTGTAATCCTGTATCCAATATGTGTGTATTGTGCCCCATTTACTATTGCTTTCTTCTACTTCTGGAGAGCTTATGGCCAGTGTCAACGCAGAGGAACCAAAAGTCAAAACTTAAGAAACCAGATCAGATCCAGAAGGCTTACCATAATGTTGCTCAGTGTTACTGTAACTTTTTCCATCCTGTGGATCCCAGAATGGGTAGCCTGGCTTTGGGTTTGGCACCAGCCTCACCATGGACCTTCTCCACCTCCAGCTTTTCTGGCCGTGGCACAAATCCTTATGTTCTCCCTCTCGTCTATAAACCCACTCCTATTTCTAGTCATGTCTGAGGAGTTCAATGAAGGTTTCAAAGGGGTCTGGAAACATTTAGCTTCCAAAAAATCGGTATCTATGCAGGAAGCTCAAGAGGAGGGGGTTGTCCATTCAGACGTTGACCCAGATGTAGCACCATCACCAGAGCAGCCTGTCAAGAGCAGCTGCATGGAACAGTCATGTTCCCAACAAAATTTTGGTAGCCAAGAGAGTAAGGATAATCCAGTCCTACCAGATGTAGAACAGTTTTGGTGTGAGAGAGAATCCCACCCATCTGATCAAGATAATGACCCCATTCCTTGGGAACGTCAGGAAAAAGAGCCAGGAGAGTGATTATAAAAAAAATACTCTTTGGAGCGAAAAAAACTAAAACAAAATGTCATGATATAATTTATCTATCTGAGGTCTCTATGTGATTCTGTTTTGTTATCTAAAGGCTTCTGCTCAAGTGTACTGTTCTAGAGATATGTCCTACTCCTCAACTGGTCTTTTCAAAGTCCTGGTGGAGTAATATCGGTGATATGATGAATTCACCTGTGCTCAAGCAGGGATTGTCCTTAAAAAACACAAGCTGCCATAACTTCTTTTAACTTAATTTGGAAAGTAAAGTAGATCATCTGTGCTTGAATTTTTATTCTGTACTTTATTATTATTTTTAATACATACTTCAGTGTGTTATACTTTTAATTTTAGTGCATTTTAGTGTTTTTCTTGGGTTCGGTAGTTCCAGTGGTCATGTGATTTCTGCAAACCTAGTTTGATGATTTGTATTAACCCCTTAAGGACACATGACGGAAATATACTATGTAGAATATATGTGGTAATTCTAAGAAAGAAACTTGTAAAATAACACTGTCTAATGTTCTATAATGTCACTCATATACAAACACACAAATTCTAGAATTACAAGCCTAAATAGGTTTTGTTTGTGTTTGTAATTAAAGGTTAGACTATATAAAATGTAGGTTATTTCATGGTTAACAAGAAACCGTTGCCTATTGCTTGTATTTGTTTTCCATTATAAACATCTTTTTTATACAGTCATGCAGAATTCCAGTTTGACAAGATTTAATCAATTGGGGTTTATTTATTAAACATTAAATTGCAGTAAATTAAAAACTGAATTTCAAAATTCAGGCTCAAATAACCTAGAGTTGATTATACCTGAGATGTAGAATGTCTCTGAACCAGTACATTTTGTCTAAATGCTGCATTTAAGTGTTTTATTGAATACAGTGTGGATTTTAGTCATTTTACAGCTGTGTATCACACTCCTATGTTGTAAGCATGGACTGCTGGTATTCCACAAACCGCATTTAAAAGCAGTTAGGAATGTATCCTTAGATCAGGGGTGTTCAAAAGGTAGATCCACAGATGTTTTAAAACTACAGCTTCCATGATGCTTTATCATTCTAAAAGCATTCTACATGCATGCAAAGCATCATGGGAGTTGTTGTTCTACAACATCTGGGGTCTACCTTTTTGGCACTCCTGCCTTAGTTAATGACTACACAAGCAATTCATTGGTCACAATAGGGTTAACAATATAGTGCATTTTCCTCTTACTAGTAAGCCAGTCTTTCTCTGTTAAACACATTTATTGGATTGTGGTGGTATTCTTTGGTGTTCAAGAAAATACACAAAACAACAATACATCCATTCACAGCCACATTACAACCTGAAGGGGTTTATTTACTAAACAGTGAATTGCAGTGTGTCTTCAGATTGCGAGCTTCTTTGGGAAGGGCTCTCTTCACCTACAGTTCCCCTATGTCATACATGTATTGTTGGCATAGGGGAATTAAATGTTTGTCTTGTTTCCTAATGTACAGAACTGCAGAATAGGTTGGTGCTATAGAAAGCATTGAAAATTAATTTACAAAATTCAGACCCAAATACCTGATTTTGGAAAAATTCTCAGACTCAGCTATAGTCATCATCAACTATTATGGCCTTAATTTTGTCATTTTTTTTTTTTTTTTATTCACTTCAATTTAATGTTATGTGAATAAACCCTAAAGTATTTCAATCTCATAACACAAATGTTCACATCCACAAATATCTGATTGGTTTATAAAGTGTTAACTGAGGCTGACAAGCTGAACATTTATCAACATTTAAAAACCATGCTTCCTGTTTCAACTATTCAATTACATAGTTACATAGCTGAAAAGAGACATGCATACATCAAGTTCAGCCTTTCTCACATTTGTTTTTGCGGTAGATCCAAAAGAAGGCAAAAACCCCAGTCTGAAGCGCTTTTGCAGCAAACTAGGAAAAAAATTCCTTCTTGTCTCTAGAACGACAGTCCGATTTCTCCTTGGATCAAGAAGCTATTGCCCCCCAAATAAAAAAAAAATAAAAATGGCTGTATATAATATTTTTGCAACTATGTATACAATTGCGGTTTAAACATCTGTACGGACGCTGATAAAACCACCTCTTTAGGCAGAGAATTTCACATCCTGATTCTTCTTAATGTAAAAAAAACTTTCCTTTGCATTTTTCAAGTGCAATACATTTGCAATGCAAATTAGATTAATACATATTTCAATGGCTAATGGCAATAAACATTGCAAAGTTATTCACTAAAGTGAGAATTCAAAAATAATTTCAAATTGAAGGTCGAAATATCCAAACTGGGGGGAAAAAAATCTGTAAGTCAGCGTTCAGTACTTACAGTCCTGGTACTGTGCTCTTAAATTTCTATTTGAATTCTCACTTTACCATATAACCATGCTAGTTTTGATACCAAGATTCTCCAGTGCCAGGAAAACAAACCTGACACTAGAGCAGGGATAGGCAACCTTCAGCACTCCAGATGTTGTGGACTACACCCCCCATAATGCTATTACATCCATAATGCTGCATTATGGGAAGTGTAGTCCAAAACATCTGGAGTGCCAAAGGTTGCCTATGCCTGCACTAAAGAATCCTGGAGTCCCCCCTCCCTCCCGCCCCCTATCCAATGTTGCTAAAAGGGTTAAAACCCCTTCAGACACTTACCTGAATCCAGCGAGGGACATCTGCGCTGGGTCAGGCTCCGCCCATCCTCCTCCCCCGACGTCATGCTTTCCTATAGGGAATATCAGACGCTGGAGGTCCATGAGGACCGTGTCCATTTAAAATAGGGACAGAACAGCCTTTTGGGGTATCGAATACATGTGGATTAAAAGTTATGTTTGTTGATACATTATGTTAATCTGTTATAAAGATATAGCAGTGATGAGGGTATATTGAACTACATCATTTTATAAAATCTGTGATCTTATAATCTTACAGGGGTTCAGAACAGTTTACAAGTGGTAAACATTAATATAAAACATACTGTAAGTGTGAAAGTATAATAGTAGTACAAATGCTTTAAAAAACCCTGTTAATTTGTTTTATGTAAAAATCTACTGTTATATTTGGGAGCAAAGATCCCAAGCTGATTGAATAATTTGCTAAATTCTTCTTAATGCCAAAAACAATATTTGCAGTGCTTGTGTACAAACACAGGTATCTGTAAATAAAATTAATGCAAAGGCTGTACACAGACTATACAAGTTCACAAAGCACTTCCTCTGCTGCCCCCTTTGCGAGTTTCCTTCTCTTTAATGTGGGAAAGTTATAAGCAGGTCCTGTCGTTGTAGTCATTCTTGTTGGCAAAGCCTGTTTCCAGAACTAAGTTAAGAATGTGTAGCATATGGGAAGTACATATATTGGCATTTCTTTTAAATCTCATTCTATCTTTAATGGGTTACTGCAACCCTTTTTAACTCCTTCCCTTTTTTTAATGGGTAATGCCCTGTTAATAATGCCATTATTCTTTAGGTCCCTCCTATAACAATTAATATATACTTACCTGGAATCCAACGCCGGATGAAATTCCCGTTGCGGCTTTCCACGCCCCCTCATGACGTATTTGCAGCTGCGCAAGGTCCAGTCAAAGGGTTCTCATAGATAAGCCTTTGATTGGACCATTTAGCCAGCTCTGCAAATGCGTACACTCGGAGCCAGCAAAGAGAAAGTGAGAGGGAGATAGGGAGAGAGAGAAGAGGGGAAATTGGGAAAACATTTTTTTTAGTTGATTGGGTAGGTGGGAGGCCTCTGCCTGCAAGAGGAAGCTCAAAACATCCATTGCCAGCATTGCTATGAGCACTGATGACAGACATGTTTTATGCACAGAATTGACATTTGGCAATCCGGAACATAATTCCAGGCTGCCAAGTCACATGTGTTGCGTGTGTAACTAGCCTCTGGTACACAAATGCCAATATTTCAGCATATGCAGTGTTTTAGTCAGAAAGTAAAAAGGGGTCATGGTGGTTGGAGCAACCCTTTAACCCCTTAAGGACACATGACATGTCATGATTCCCTTTTATTCCAGAAGTTTGATCCTTAAGGGGTTAAAGAAAGCCAACTCTAACCACCACCAGAGTATATATCTGATTAATTAAAGGAACAGTCCAGACACATAAAGTACTTCAATGTGCTCTCTTTTTCATAGAAATTGTCACTTTTATAATTTAACCTTGTTGCAAGCTCCTGGCTGTCAGACAACCTATCCTGTTACTTCCTGGTTTCGTTAGCTCAGTGGAGTTCAACGTAAGAGGCAGCAATTGCCCAGCACACCTGTCTTGCAAAGACCAAAGATGGGCTTGCTGCAAATGGCATCCAGTCATGATCCATGAAATAGCCATATCATTCCAGTTCAAGCTCTCTCAGCGACACCACAAGAGAGGGGTTGTGTACGGAGAGGCTGAGCATTTTGCAATGTGACAATTACCGTCTCAGGCACAAATACTGTATATCTGTAACAAATTTAAATTCTCCTTGCAGAGCGAACAAAAATCCTGACTTAAAGGGATACTCCACACCTTTAAAGCAACTCAGTTTTTACAGGCAGGCAGACAGTTGTCCAGAGCACCTACTTAACAGAGAAAACATGCATGCCTGTAAACAACGATTTTTATTATACATTTTTTTCTGCAGTGGAATATAAATTTTACACCTTTAGGAACCTTGAATAAAAAAGGGAGATCCTAGCCCACAGTTGTTGTCCCTATTTTTTTATTCATCATATAGTGAACACAAATTGCTCATTAAATAATACAAATGTACTTCTTTTTAAATTTCTTCTTTGTTACGAAATCCATGGGATATGATTGTGAGTGCTCACCAAAAGAAGCAGCTTTGTCAATACAAGTAAACCTAAAGCTTTCTGGGGGGGTTTGTGTGTATACCATAAACTTCTGCATCAAACTGAGCAATTGATTTAAAAGGTTTCAAATGATTTCAATTTGTTGGATAAACTCTAAAAATTGTTTTATAAATATATATGTTATATCATTTTAAAAGTTTATCCAAAAAATATATATATTAGACTAGCAATTTGATTGAGTCAAATAATACTATAATAGTATCCCACCTTAATACTTAAAATTATGTTTTATTATTACATTATATTATGTGTAACTAAGAAAAAAAGAGAGGTATTATATACAAAACGTATATAACATGACAAGAAATATATATATAATACACCTTGGTGGCTTTTGCCACTTTTTGCCACCTCAAATTGAAGCTGTCACATAACACTATCAAATTATACCTCACGGGCATCCAGCACCACATGTTTTCAGCTTTTCCCCAACAACCAAGGCTTCCTCACATCCTAGCCCATCAAAAGCATCCTTAAGGGTATACGCAAAGCAAACGGTCCTACTCCACAACGTAGGTTGCCTATTGACATACAACTGTTCAAGCGTATTTCAGGCTTACTGGATACAGCACCTTTTGAACCACATACAAACTCCGTTTTCAAAACAGCAATATACTTGGCTTTCTCAGACCACGAGAATTCACTCTCACGGGGGAACACGATGGTAAGAATTGCCTTCGAAACTCAAACCTTTACAAACAACAAGACCATTATGTGCTAAGCTTACCTTCTTCTAAGACTAGTCAGATGGGTCAAGGAGTTCTTATACACTACTACCCCACAGACAATTCATGGTGCCCGGTGAAAGTTTTTGACACATACCTACTTTCAGCAACCACTCACGGCTCACTCTCTCTCCTGTCACTTCACGGGGCTACCCTTACCACGTCTAAATTCATGGTATATGTACATTTATTATTGACACGACTCGGCTTGAATGTCACCAAATATTTAGGGCACTCATTGAGGATATGGGCAGCATCCACTGCCTCAAGCCAAGATATTACGGTACATGTGATCAAAACATTAGGCCACTGGAAGTCATCAGCTTATGCGGTTTATATACCTCAGCCAATTCAGGAGTTAAAGGGACACTGTAGGCACTGTATCTGCTTCATCTCATTAAACTGGTTATAGTGTATGGAGTCCCCTGGTGCCATAATTTCTTTCAGCATTAAACAGTTTTTAATGTTGTAATGTTTTAATCCTAAACAAGAGACCACGGCAGTCCATCCCCTCTGTGCTGCTTTGGCTAATAAGGAAGTATTAGCCGGAGCAGCAATGGGTAGCTGTGATTGGCTGAGAGTGTCAGCTGACTGCTTTTAACCTGTCAGAGCTCCAACTGACAGTATGAATGGGTATGACAACAAGGAAGTGTGTAATCTCTGCCTTAGCTACACATACAGAAGGGGCCGGACTGTGGGTGGCCAGGGACTCTTATTTTGTGGCATACTGCACAAACATGGTGCAACACTGAATGGAGGGACAGTGCCAGGGCACTCCAGGCACTATAACCAATTCAAAGAGACAAAGTGGTTATAGTGACTACAGTGTCCCTTTAAGAAAGGCATTTGTTAAGATGTCCTCACAAGTATGTTGCTATGATGTCATGTGGTTTCGTAATAAATATCTTTTTGTAAAACAAGATTGGTATTCCTTTTGCCCACTTATTTACAGGCATATCACACACGTCGGTATCAGCACAGCTCAACCGACTTTGCTTATTAAGGTAGTTGACTTAATCTCTATTTCGTTCCATTACTGAAATGGCACGAACACAAATTGGAAGGCTGGGCCTGAAGTTGTGGGAGGGGCTGTGTACCTTTAAAAGGGACTCCCCCTCTTCCCTACGTTACCTAATTAGTTCCAGATGTACTGCTGGCTCACCCTCCACTCAACTCTATCAAAGGTAGGCCCACTTATTTACAGGCCTATCACACACGTCAGTATCAGCACACCTCAACCGATTTTGCTTATTAAGGTAGTTGACTTAATCTCTATTTCGTTCCATTACTGAAATGGCCCCGAACACAAATATATATATTTATTTAAAAATCATTTATAACAAAGTATCATGTACAAACTATACTAGACCCTCAAACTGTAGCTATCTGGACAAAACATACCATACCCATACCTATATTATAACAATTCCCATGGGAAGATATTTAGTGAATCTTAATATCTCCCATACCTAACCAAGGAGATTTGAAATATTTCCCACTGATAAACCCATTTTCTTTTTAAATTTCTTTTATGAAGTAGCTCAATTTTTCAATACAATAAAGAGGTGGAGTTGATTCCATATTGGTTTTGTGATTTGTGACTCTGCACTCTATGGCTTGGCAAAGACCTCACACCGCGAGACTTACAGGGGAGCTGACCGGACCGGAGGAGAGAGAAGGGAGCTGACAGGAGCTGCAGGAAAGTTAAGTAACAGCTCTCTGCCAGCCCCCCTCCTACACAGCCCATCCACTGGACCACCAGAAAATGAGAGCCCTCCTCCCTGGCCGTGTATCAAGCAGGGAGGGGGGGATGAAAAAAATATAAATAATAATGTAAATAATAAAATTATTAAAAAATAAAATAACAAAAAAAAATTAATATTAAAATAATTTTTTTTAAAATGCCCCACACCCCCCCTGGATCAGCATCAGACACTGCATTCATTATATACACACACTGTAAATAAATATTCAATTAATATAATTTTTTTAGGATAAAATTTTATTTAGAAATGTACCAGTACCTACTGCATTTACCACTCTAGTCTTATACTCGAGTCAATAAGTTTTCCCAGTTTTTGGGGGTAAAATTAGGGGTCTCGACTTATACTCGAGTATATACGCACCTGCCCAACAACCCAGGCAGAAAGTCCAGAGAATTTGGCTTGCAAGCCCTATATTTAACCCTGTAACTTTCCAGGACACCATAAAACCTGTACATGGGGGTTCTGTTTTACTCGGGAGACTTGCTGAACACAAATATTAGTGTTCAAGAACAGTAAAACATATCACAACTATGATATCGTCAGTAAAAATGCAATTATTTGCATTTTCCACACACAAACTTTACTTTCACTGACGATATAATTGTGGTACGTTTTACTATTTTGAAACACTAATATTTGTTTTCGGTGAAGTCTTTCGATTATAACAGTACCTCCATGTACAAGTTTTATGGTGCTTTCAAAAGTTACTGAGTCAAATATAAGGCTTGAATTTCCATATTTTTCACTTTGAAATTTGCCCAATTAGTTATGTTGCCTTTGAGACCGTATGGTAGCCCAGGAATGAAAATTAACCTCATTATGGCAAATTAACCCCATTTGCAAAACTAGACAACCCAAGGTATTGCAGATGGGGTATGTCCAGTCTTTTTTAGTAGCCACTTAGTCAAAAACACTGGCCAATATTAGCGTTCAATTTTTTAGTTTTTTGCATTCTTCACACACATACAAATATGAACGCTAACTTTGGCCAGTGTTTGTGACTAAGTGGCTACCAGAAAAGACTGGACATACCCCATTTGTAATACCTGTGGCTGTCTACTTTTGCAAATGGTATGCCATCATGGGGGTAATTTTCATTCCTGGGCTACCATTTGGTCT